GCAAGGTACTCTAAGTTTGTAGTTGGAAGAAAAAAAAAAAAAAAACTTCACGTTAAAAATTTGAATTGGTAATTGAGATTAGGGTTTTTTCACTATTGGAAAACGAGGTATATTCGACAAAATTTTTTATCGAATATAGAGATATTTCTGTTGATTATGTCTTAATCGACAGACATAATCGACAGCCAAATGTGTTGTATAAAATGCAGTCAATAATGTGTATATTCGACAAAAATTTTAATTGTTGAATATCCTAATTTAAATCGATAGATATTTTCTGTCGAATATACTTATTATCGACAGAATTTCGTAACCATCTTTATAATTTTGGCAGGTTATATTCGACAGTCATTAGCTGTCGATTAAACTAGTATATTCGACAGCCATTGGCTGTCCAATATGTTTTTTTTTTTTTGAAAATATATTCAACAACCATTAGCTGTCGATTAAAGCTATATAATCGACAGCTAATAGCTATCGATTATTTTTTTTTTAGAAATTATATTCAAAAACCTATTTCTGTCGAATATTTTTTTTTGTGATATTATATTCGACGGCATGTTGTTGAATATACTTGGCAAAAAAATAAAAAATTTTGAAAAATCGACAAAACCCAAAATTAATCTGATACTATTTTCTGTTAATTTTATATAAAAAAATAGTAAAACGAACACAATTATTAAGTTCCCCAATAATATATTTATGAAACAATTTTAACAATAATATAAAAAGTAATAGATAATCATAAATAAAATTAAAATGAGAATTAACCTTAATTATTTTGAAATATGTTCTTGTTCCTACCAAAAATAACAGAAAAAAATGTATATCAAGTAATAAGAATTTCAAAAAGAAAAGAAGATAAAAATTATAAATCACAAAATTTACCTCACATTACTTCATAATTAATGTAATAAGAATTTCAAAAAGAAAAGAAGATAAAAAGTATAAATTACAAAATTTACCTCACATTACTTCATAATTAATGTATAAAAATCTGGAAAAAAAAAAAAAAACTAGTAGTATGTTAAATAATAAGAATTCAACAAAAAAGAGAGAAAAGTGAAAAGAAAGAAGATGATTAAAGGTAATTTATGAAAATATAAAGAGAAGAATGTAAAACAAGAAA